AAAAAAAAAAAAAAAAAAAAAAAAAAAAAAAAAAAAAAAAAAAAAAAATCAGGGAGTCGTCGGGAGTCACAAGTTGTGCATACACTCGCGCGCATACATTAGCCCTCGTTAAGTTCATTCACTGGCACATGCACATACACGCGTACAGGGGAGGGGTGCAGCTTTTGCATCTCGCTCTATTAGCTTGTAGCGCGTTGACGCGCGAGCAAACATCCCCAAACACGTCCCACCCCAATCATTCGGGTGCACGCGCTTTGTACAAACACCCTCGCCACGCCTGACGACCCGTCCGGTTACGGGTACGCGTTGTAACACAATCCATGGACTTTTCAACAAAAAAAAAAAAAAAAAAAAAAAAAAAAACAAATAAATAAATAACTTACTCGGGTACAAAGCGATTAAAGGGCCGCTGACCTCGTCGTGATGCTCTGTTTAGGGGCTACGATCGAGTATCCAATGCGGTGCTGGAGCCGCGCGTCATAGCCAAGGCACCGGAGGGCGAGGGATGTCCACGCTGCGGTGGCTTCGTCTACATGGCCGAGCAGATGCTCGCCAGAGGAAGGGTAAGTCCGACCCGAGAGTTTTCCCGAAAAACAACGAGATATCTCTCCGACCCCCTCACACCACCACCCACAGCCCCGTGCTCTTTGATTTTATTTTCCCTCGCGAAGAGACTGACACCGGCTCGTTGGAAAGAGTTTGCGGCTTTTGTATATTACTCCTAATGGGGCTCACGGGTTTTTCGAGCTAAACTTTGGAAAAATCTAGAGTGCTCTATTGGATTTACAAGCATTAGCCGGTGGATGGGGCTCTCTTTTTTTCCCAGCTCCCCCCCCCCCCCCCTTGTTAAGTCTGTAGTTATGGGGCTTTTATTTTTTTTTTTGTTTTTTTGTTTATTTGTTTTCGTGAATCATCTAAGAAAATTGGGGTCGAATGCCTGTCTAAAATAAACAGTCTCTTCGCGTCTCGGGTTACACGGCGGGTCCCGCTTCCAAAGACACATACCACAGTCAGAACAAATTGAGATATGCCATTCATACAAATATATATTTATTCGTTCTACTTTTTTCTCCTCAAACTACTCTGGCATTACGACTATGCGATGGAAAAAAAAAATATATATATATATATATCACGCATTTCTCGCTCGCGATATCGTTGCGCCGTGACAGTTCAAGTCAACAGCTACAAAAAATCCCTGATGCTTCGTTCATTACTTACTAAATGTATACTCATGCCTATACATGAAGCCTTTGCGCACGATGTTCCCAANATATATATATATATATATCACGCATTTCTCGCTCGCGATATCGTTGCGCCGTGACAGTTCAAGTCAACAGCTACAAAAAATCCCTGATGCTTCGTTCATTACTTACTAAATGTATACTCATGCCTATACATGAAGCCTTTGCGCACGATGTTCCCAATAAATTTTGCAAACTGCACTACCGCGTGTTTTTCCCCTCTGCTCGGGGAGGCCCGCGCCTGCCAGAGTAAGGTGTTCTATTTCGGAACGGCGTCGAGATTATTTTAGCGGAAAAACGCGTATGCGTGCACAGGTTATTAAAACGCGCCACAGGTTTAAAAATAAGATTTAGAGCAGCAGTGGAAGAAGAAGAAGAAGAAGAAGAAAAAAAAAAAGTAGTAGTAAAAACGGCGATTGTTCCAAAGAGCCCGCGTCCGGTCCAGCATCTTTCGAAAGAGAGAGAAGTTGGGGGGGTTGGCTGGTCTCGAAATAGGCGTAATATCTCCACAGAAGCGCCGGTGTAAAAGTGATTCCGTCCTCGCTTATATTACATATTTATATGTGTGTGTGTCGCGAAACGAATTTCACAACGCGATACTGCGTATAATTATAGAACACGCCGTGTAATGTCTGGACAGCGCGGGGGGGGGGGAAATGTTGGCACGGTTCGTGGTACGTGCGCGGGTGACGACGCCGTTATGCAAACTTATTTTGGCGAGGATGATATAACTGCTTTTGTGCACGTGTATAGGTACGTTTTATTGATGATGAATGAACAATGTCAACGGCGATTTTGCAAACGTCGTTGTTTTGACTAAAGTATCATTGGTTTTCGTGAATTTGGCTGAGGTCCTTTCTTCTTTTTTTTAAGAACTTGGTAATATTCGTTGGTAATGATTCGTGTCTTGAAAAAATAAATCACTTTTCGAAATACTCCCGGCGCACTTTTACGCTCCAAGAGGCCACTGTCCCGTGTAATTGGCATAGCCACGAAAATATACGTGGCTACACGCGAGGGATCTAAAAATCATCCTCCATAGGTATGGCGCGATCTACCCACACCGACGTCCATCGTGTATTTATAGCGTCGTAACCCCCTACCCAAGGCGGGTTTTTTATTAATTTTTTTTTAATTTTTAATTTTTGAAAAATGTTTTTTCTCCCTCCCCCCTTCCTGTCCTACTCGAAATTAAGAGCACCGGGCGAGGCTCGCTGGGCGAAATTGATGCCACCGTGCGCGCGGCTAAAATTACATGGAGCTCCGCGCGATCCGATGGGGTCAGCCGAGAAGAAGGGGGCCAGCGGTGAGAGAGTCGCAAAAGGCGTGGTGCCAAAAGATGTGGTGGTCCGAGCTCGTTTCGACACTGCGCGTGGATTGGGCCGAAGGAATAAATCGACCGCGGCTGAAAAACAAAATTGCAACCAAAAGGCTCTTGTGACGATGTCGCGAGCGAGAAATAAAAAGCACAACATACACGAATCACGTAACCGATGGTGTCCTTCCGTACACGTAAAGAAGTAAAACAAATATACCAAACGCCTCTCCGAGGCAGTCGATGTAGTCATTGCCTGCATTTGTGTGATTAGGCCTTCCATAAGCAATGCTTCAAGTGCAAAATCTGCCAGCGGACCCTGGACTCCAGCTTGCATTGCGATGGTCCCGATCGCGAAATTTATTGCAGAGGTACAAGCTTGTGACAACCTCTTTGTGTTAACCAGCCAATGGGTTTTTTTTTTATTTTTTTTTTATTTTTTTCTTTTCTTTTTTGAGATTAAAGAAACCCTCCCTTCTTCCCAAATAAAAAACAATCTCTTTCATCGTACATTAATAAAAACAAAAGAAAAAAATCGTCTCCCTTCGAGCCAAGTTTTTTGTCCTTCCAACTCGCCACGTGTGCTCCCAAAGTGTATAATACAAACTTGTGTCTAACTCTATGTTAAAAATCTTAAAAAAGCAACCAAAAACAGATAAAAAGGAAAGAAACCCTTGTTTACCCGAATCGATTTTATTTGCATCGAAACCCACTGTGCCGACAAACTCCATCAAAAGGTCTTTAGTTGCGAATAAATAAAAAAAAAAAAGAAAAACCACTTTCAAACCAATCAGTGCCCACATGGTGATTTGCACAAATTCAACAAACAAGATTACCCTAACGAAACAACGTAGGCGTTGAAAAAAAAAAAAAAAAGGACACTCTCGACCGGGAAATCGCCAAGTGCACTACGAAAAACAAGTCATGCTCCGAACTACGTAAAAACACAACACAAACACATGCTCGACAATCGCGTCCCGTCAAGTTTCAGAACAGAAAAAAAAAAAAAAAAAAAATCAGGGAGTCGTCGGGAGTCACAAGTTGTGCATACACTCGCGCGCATACATTAGCCCTCGTTAAGTTCATTCACTGGCACATGCACATACACGCGTACAGGGGAGGGGTGCAGCTTTTGCATCTCGCTCTATTAGCTTGTAGCGCGTTGACGCGCGAGCAAACATCCCCAAACACGTCCCACCCCAATCATTCGGGTGCACGCGCTTTGTACAAACACCCTCGCCACGCCTGACGACCCGTCCGGTTACGGGTACGCGTTGTAACACAATCCATGGACTTTTCAACAAAAAAAAAAAAAAAAAAAAAAAAAAAACAAATAAATAAATAACTTACTCGGGTACAAAGCGATTAAAGGGCCGCTGACCTCGTCGTGATTAAGAGACCCGTCCGTAAATAATACACAGTGTTTCGGCGAGCCGTCGATCTGATTGTCCCGTGGCGTTGATTGTTTCGATCTATAACGAGAGACTACTCGAGCGAGTTTTAATGAAATTTCCGCGTCTCCGGGCGCCTCGTCCCAGACGCTGGTTATTATACTTGCAATTTCAAAAATAAATTAATGCTCCGTACGTACAAGGTTTAACATTTGGCGTCTCGTTGTAAATGTTTGGTTTGGACAATGCACAAAGAAAGCGGGACATAAGGACGGTATTACCCATACACGCGCGCACAAAAATCAGGAGTTTGGTTGGAGTGGAAGCGGCCGGTCGTGTCTAACGTAAGTCCCCCCCCCCACCCCACCCCACCTCCGTTGACCCTTTTTTCGCATCCCTGCGCATTCGATGGAGAAAATACACACGTCCATTTACAACGCGTATATAATGTACACCGAGTGACTAACACCCCTGATTATACATATGTATCCCTTTTGTGTCTGGTGCAGGGATGGCACAGGGAGTGTTTTAAGTGTGGCACCTGCCACAAGAGATTAGACTCCCGCAACTGCTGCGAAGGTCCTGACAAGGATATCTATTGCAAAGGTGAGGTTTTTCACGCTCTTGTCGTCGCCACTACTCCTTGTAATCTTCTTGCCGTTGTTTACTTTTTTTCTTTGTTAGTTTTCTCTATGCCTTATATACGTAAACCTTATTGTTCGTCCGAAGATTTCCTATAGTCTATAGGGAATCTCTCTCTTGCGATGGATCGAAAAAACAAAAAAGTAAGCAAAAGCAAGTTGAAAAGAAGAAAAAAAAAAAAAAAAAAAAAAGAAAAAAAAAAGAAATATTGAATGTGAATTCCCGCAAAACCTGCCTTTAAACGACCAAAGGATCCCAAAACCTCTAACTGTGCGTGTTGATCCTTCAGTGTGCTACGGAAAGAAGTTCGGTCCTAAGGGCTACGGCTACGGCCAAGGTGGTGGCGCCCTCCAGAGCGACTGCTACTACAACGGGTGGGTCTTGATTTGTTTTTTTTTTTTGTTTTTTTTTTTTTTTCCAACTTAGAGCCGAGCTTGAGAAACGAGCGCGCGGGATGGCCGACTGTTGCGATCTTGTATACCACTCGCGTCGAATCGGCAGAGAAGCTCGCAACCCTCTCGGCCACCCGCTCGCTCCGTCTTTCTCGATATAACACACGTTCTTCGACTTTTATTAATCTCTCTCTCTCACGCACTTTATTTCATTTCTTCTTCTTCTTCTTCTTCTTTCTCTTTAGTTTTGAAAACATGATTATATGATGCGCTTTGTCTCTTTATCTCTGCTTAACAGCTTGCTATCCGAAGAAATTCGGTCCGCGGGGCATTGGTCATGCGGGGCTCATGTGGATCGGGCTGCAGTGCGATATCGAGGACATGGGGTACGATGCGCCCCGTTGCTTCACTATCACGTTACATTTGATTATATACATTCCGCGATGATAATTTTTTTTTTTTTTTTTTTTTTTTTTTTTTTTTTTTTTTTTTTTTT